CGCGGCGGCCGGCTCTGGGGGCTCCGCGGCCCGGCGCTGGGGGCTCCGCGGCCCGGCTCTGGGGGCTCCACACCCGGGCTCTGGGGGCTCCACACCCGGGCTCTGGGGGCTCCACACCCGGGCTCTGGGGGCTCCGCGGCCGGCTCTGGGGGCTCAGTGGGGAGTGCGTGGGGAGAAAGGAGGCTGGGCAGTCGCGCCACACCCAGCATGTGACCCTTGTTCTGTCCCACGCATTTGTCCCCGCTGTCCCCGCGGTGCTGCACATGGTACCCACTTCCCACTCTCAGCGATGACACGAACGCGTCTTCTGAATGAAAATGCAGTTAGGCTGCAACAGGCTGGTTATAGGCGCTCACAGTAAACACACCGGCTCTCGCGGTCACAGTGGCAGGTGAGGGCTTACGGGCTCTGGCCAGGCTGAGGGCATGTGAGCATGCAGATGGGGGTGCTGCCCTGCACGCCCTGAGTCCTCCAGGGTGAGGTGAACAAGCCGGCAGGGAGAACGGAGGGCCGAGTTTGAGCGCTGTCCCCAGCTCTGCACTCCCAGGCTGCCCGGTGGGGGGGGAGGCCCCAAGCCAGCCTGTCGTGCAGCAGTGTGGAAGCACACACCAGGGAGGCCGTGCACTGCAGCGGGTCAGCAGGGAGGAAGGACATGGTTAGGGTCCCCGGGGGAAGGGGTGCTGGGGAGGGTCAGGGGAGGCCAGGCGTGAGCTCCCAGCCTGCTCCCCTGGGTGTCCCATGGACAGCGTCATCTCCCACGCCAACCTGTGCTGCCAGCCGGGAGCCCCCGGGCCTCTTGTCAGGACTTTCCTGGGGCTTGACTGCCCCCATGGCCCTCTCCTGGACCTGCAGCTGAGCCCTGCTGTCTGGAGGACCCTGCCCCACCCGGCCCAAAGGCTGCATGGGCAGCAACTCTGACCCTCTGGTGTTCTCAGCCTCAGGGAGCCGTGCCAGCTACGTGGGGTTGCCCAGCTGCCAAGCCAGCTGGTCCTGATGTGGCTCGCGGTGTGGCAGGAGCAGGGAGAGCCTGGGGTGGGGGAGGTCCTTAGAAATTCGTGCCTCCCCCCTCCCCCGCCCCCGAGACAATCCATCCCAACCCCAGCTCCTGGAGAGACTCAAGCTAAGGAAGGGGGCCTTGGACGCCTCCACGGAACCCGTCCCTGGTGGGAGTGCTGAGTGGAACTCAGTGCATCATGGCTGTGCTCAGCCGGGGCACCTAGGCCTGGGTGCCCACTCTTGGCGTGCGAGCAGCCCGCCTGCTGCCCAGGTGCGGGACCACTCACTGCCCAGCTGGCCAGCAAGAGAGGCTACAGGTTGCCCTGGGACTGTGGGACGACGGCCTCGCTGTGCCCACCTGACAGCCGAGACCCAGTGCCGCACCTCAGGGCTGGCGCTGGCCCCTGGGGGCCGCCTTCCAGGCTGCAGACGCTGCCTCTGGTTGTGCCTTCGGGTGGACGAGGGTCCCCTGTGCAGGGCACTACCCTATGTCCCCAAAGGCTTCACCTCACACCACGCCTGGGGGCGAGGACCTCAGCATGTGCTTGGGGGACTCAGACAGGGACACTTGGCCCATCACCCTGGGGCTTCTGAGGGCCGTCTCTGCCCCAAGGGGACAGTAGGGCCGAGAAGAGGGCGTGACGCTGGCCTGAGAGCCGAGGCCTTGATCCCGCCAGGCCTGAGCTAGCCCGGGCCCAGGAGCCCGAGCCAAGCATGCGTACCCCAAGTCCTGAGAGCAGAATGGAGGAGGGGTTGCAGCGTGGCCATTCCCCTGGGGGGTGATCTCTCACTTCCTGTCTCTGTCTCTGTCTCTGCAGCTAGCACATGTGCCCTATAGCAAAACATCTCCCAAAAATAAAGGAGAAAAGGCTGGCTGTGGCCATGATGAGTGGGGGGCCTCTCCGGCCCCGCACGTGGCCAGACTCTGTGCTGTTACCACTGCGGGCTCACACCCGGGTCTCAGGCCCAGGGGTGCGTGTGCAGAGCACAGATACACGCGATCCGTACTGCAGGTACCGGCCCCTGACCGCTCCCCGCCTGGAGCCGGCCTTCCAGGAAGTGCTGGCTCTCCTGGGGGGCAGACGCACACCTGGGGTAGGAGTGTGTGTGTGCGTGTGTGCGCCTGTGTGCTCACATGTGCGTGTGCTCACGTGTGCATGTGCCTGTGTGCGTGTGTGCCCAGTGTGTGTGCTCACGTGTGTGTGCCTGTGTGCGTGTGCCTGTGTGCGCGTGTGCCCGGTGCGTGTGCTCACGTGTGCGTGTGCCTGTGTGCGCGTGTGCCCGGTGTGTGTGCTCATGTGTGTGTGTGTGCCTGTGTGCCCGGTGTGTGTGCTCACGTGTGTGTGCCTGTGTGCGCGTGTGCCCGGTGTGTGTGCTCACGTGTGCGTGTGCCTGTGTGCGCGTGTGCCCGGTGCGTGTGCTCATGTGTGTGTGCGTGTGTGCCCGTGTGCCCGGTGCGTGTGCTCATGTGTG